AAGTGAAGAATAGGTCAACTACGCTTGAGAAATGCCAAGGTTCTACTTGTTGGAGCGGGAGGTCTGGGATGTCCTGCTGCAGCATACCTCGCTGGTTCGGGCATTGGGACGATCGGTCTTGTTGATGGTGATGAAGTTGAGGTTTCGAATTTACACCGTCAAGTTGCGCATTCGACAGGTCGTGTTGGTATGAGCAAGGTTCAGAGTGCGATCACATATCTTAAAGAGTGAGAGATCCCATTCATCGTTAAGAGTTCTTTGACTAATATGCGAAGTCTGAATCCGACGATAACTTATAACGCGCACAACACACATCTCACACCGCAGAACGCTGAGGATATTGTATCAGGGTATGATTTAGTCCTTGATTGTACTGATCACCCTACATCTCGCTATCTCATATCAGATATCTGCGTTCTTCTCTCAAAGCCCCTTGTTTCAGCATCTGCATTTCAAACTTCAGGCCAACTAATCGTTCTAAATAATCCTCCTGGAAAAGGCCCCTGTTATCGCTGTGTATTCCCAACCCCCCCACCACCAGATAGCGTGGTTGGATGTGGTGAGGGTGGAATCATTGGCCCTATTGTTGGTACAATGGGCGTCCTGCAAGCTTTGGAGGCCATCAAGTTGATTTCAAGAGGTGATCTTGAGATTCATGGAGAGGCCAAAACACCGATGCTGTTACTTTTCAGTGGCATGTCTGACACCCCTTTCCGATCCGTGAGGATGAGGGGTAGAAGAAAGACTTGTCTGGCTTGTGGTGACGAGAACAGACTGACATTAGATGAGCTGAAGAACTCAATGGACTATGTTCAGTTCTGCGGTGTCAAACAGCCTGTTCAGTTACTCCAGCCCGACGAGCGAGTCACAGCGAAGGAGTATGATGAGCTCTCCAAGTTAGAGAACAAGGATATGCTGCTCGTAGACGTCCGAGAGAAGGAACATTTTGATCTCTGCAATATCGCAGGCTCGGTCAACATCCCTATCAGTCGCTTCATGAGCGCTCGTGGTGAAGCAACACCCGAGGGATGGCCAAGCGATTTGCCCCATTCAACCCCCATATACGTCGTTTGCCGAGTCGGCAACGATTCGCAGATTGCCGCACAGAAACTCAAGGATCTAGGATTAGGGAACGACGGACAGCGATTTATCGGCGATATTCTGGGCGGTATCAAGTCATGGAAAGACACTGTTGATCCATCTGTACCTTTTATATAGACTGACGCAAGAGATGGTGGCTAAAAGAGGAAATGGGGATAGTCGTATTGGATGAGAGATTTTATGATACATACATACAACATACAATGCCCGTGTTAACCCAAGCACACCAAGGACAGGCCATTCCTGCCCATCAGCTGCGCCATTACAAATAACATTTTGCTCAAGTCAACACAGACTCATGTGAGATATTTTTTCTTTTCTTTCTTTTCGTTTACACAAAGTTGGCAGTCTTCTTTTTGTTGAATGCCTTTTGGTCTTTTAGCCATTGGCGATATCCAGAAACACTAGAAATCTTTTCGCCGTAGAAATCAGGAACTGTTTCGTAGTTAGTAACTTACTTGATCGGCACTTGAAGCTAGCGAGATGAAAAACTTACCAGGGTTGCTGGCGCTCGAGTTGGTGGGGTCAACCCGATGCTTCTTGATGCGCTCAAAGAACTGAGCCTCCTTCTGCGTCATCTGCTTCTTCCACTGACGATTCAAGAGGTAAAAGACCTGGTTTCCAACACTAGGGCCGCTCAACCACCCAAGGCCCGAGAACGCGAACGTCATAAGTCCCAGCGTCATAAACGGGTCGAGAGGGATTTGCGAGATGATCGGTTCCGCCAGACCCGTCGAGAGAAAAACGGCGCCCGCAGCGCCGGCGAAGAGTCCATTGGTGATGGAGAACAAGAGCTGGTATCGTCGGCGCGAAACTCGCAGCTTGAAGAAGCTGTTCCAGTCGAGCGGGGGGAGTTCGGTGGACTGCGGCTTATCGGCATAGGTGCGGGAGAAGGTCTTTGCGACGACGGGGGTGAAGCATTGAGGTCGGAACGGCGATGCTAAGAGACATGATGCTGGACGCAGAGTTGAGAATGAAGCTTTTTGTGATGAGCGCACGAGACCTGTTAGCGGCATTCGCAAGACGGAGGTCTTGAGCGGAGAAGCCATGGTGAATTGATGGTTTGGCCAATTGAGGTTTGGGAAAGAAAAAGTCAATTAGAGGTTTGGAGTGGAGATTGAAGGATGTCGTTGTGCCGTCGGTTATTAGGCGTGACGTGGGGATGCTGAAGCTCGGGCAGAGCTGTGTTCGTGATCTCATGGTGGATGGAAAAGTTTGGCGCTTGGTTAGGCGCGGCTAAGCGCTGCCGCCATTAAGGCTCAATTAGGAACTGGATAACCCCGACCCCCCTAATAAGGGCTATATAGATTTAATAGAGCTAAGATTAATTATATTCTCTTTATTTAATTTTATAGATAGGTATAAAACGAAGTGTATTAACTAGTAATTCAATAAATATTTGAAAAGCTTTTATTTAAAATACTAATTCAATAAAAGAGGTTCCAGGTTCCCTTCATTTCTTTATTTATAATATAGCCTATAGGCCTTTCCATGCTGTGTTAGGCTTTGTTGACAATACTTCTAGCTTAATCATCGGGTAGCAGCTCTTTCTTAGGCCTGCTGCCAGCCTTTTACAACACAAGCCGCGTTTTAGAACAGCTCATAAAACAGATTTATTCTTATGAACACGCCGACGACACAATCGAAAATTTCTTCTGCTTGATCTGCCTCAGGCCCTTTCTTTACCTATGATTCCTACTCACCTAATCGAATTGGCGACTCGTCCATTATAATCCTGTTAGAACTGGCGTCGCGGGTCGCGGGACTCGCGTTGGCGCACGAGCGATGGAGTCCCTCCAACAGCAGCTCCAGCCAGACGAGTCGGAAAAACGAAAACCGAAAGAACACAAGAGATCTCGGATAGAAGTACGTCTTCGGTCTAAACCAAGAGATTATGTCCCTGGCAGTGGCCCTCCACTGCAGCCTATTAGCTTGCTACCACCCCAAGACTCGACCGCGTACATATTGGAGCGAATTATCCTTCCCTCACCGGGTCTTGCTGCGGATGGACTCCCTCTGCCGAGACGGATGACATATATCGTGTCATGGACAGACCTACCAGCGGCGCAGATGTTGGTTCCTGCAATGGATATTCTGGAATACGTATCTCCGAGGAAATTGGAAGAGTGGGAATTCAAGAATACGAAAGAACAGTTAGAAGAAGAAACGACGGAGAAAAAGAAGACAGAAACTGGACAGGTCACCCAGCCAAGGAGGCGTGGTAGACCACCCAAGCACAGTACGATAGAAACGGCTGTTGTTGCGGTGGTAGAAGACGATGAGGCTGTTCCAATGAAGGGGGCCATGACGATCCGGACCCCCACGAAGAACAGATTGAAGGACTTTGAGGGCTTGTCGGATGAGGAGGGTCCGGCGAGACAGCTGCAGTGGGAAATGACTGGTGATTCAGCTGAGACGGATGATCAGGCATTGGAGGAGCATAGAGGGACCGTTGAGGACTCAGAAAGTGCTTTCAGTGGCTCTAAGACGGATCTGGTGCATAGTTCAGCAGTTAAGCCCCAAGTCCCAAAGAAAAGTCACACCAAAGGCAAACATTTCGAATCATTCCCATCAACAGGGACCTCAAGTCGGCAAAGCACGCCTGAGATCACGAGCATACGCTCAAAGTCTGAAGGCAAAAAGAAGCTTGGCCGTTCTTCGAAGAAAGCACAACCTTCTAAGGGACTATTGAGTGGCGTTCAAGGCACAGGGTCAGCCTCAGACTGGACTCCCCAAGAGTCACTCACGTACTCTAACTCAGGGGTTGAGACACCAGATCCAGAGTCAGAGACCCAAACAGCACGTCTCATCGAAGAAGCTCTCTCAGTTCAAAAGAAGCCTCCAAAGTCCAAGTCGAAGCCCAAAAGTAGCGCCCCCAAGTCTCCAGAGGCAGTTCCTCAAGAAGACCCCAGCCAAGAAGCAGAAGAGGCAGATGAACCAGGCTGGGAAGTCAAACGGCTTGAAGACATGGAGCTCTACGATGTTGAAGGCCAAGGTCTAGTGCGCTACTTCTTGGTCCGCTGGGAAGGCGACTGGCCGCCTGACCAGAACCCCTCCTGGGAGCCAGAATCCAACCTCCCCAAAGATCTCATCAAGGCGTACCTCCGCAACGGGAAGAGAAAACGCCCAGACAAGCCGGCTACAAAGCCGGTTCAAAAACAACCCTCCGTTGCACCGTCATACGCACCAAAGAAGAAGTCTATGAAACAAACTACGTTGTCATGGGGCATTCCTGCGAAGCATTTCAAGAGCGTCAGCGAGGCTTTCGCAGGCGGAGAGGAAGATGAACTCGGAATGCCCGTCGCTGCAGATCCACGCAAGGATGATGATCAAGATGATGAGCTTTTCGTCGTGGAGGAACCGCCTGCGAAGAAGAGGGCTAAGAAGTTGGATGCGAATGGATGGGGAGCAGATGATTACAGGTGAAGAAAAACAACAGGTCAAGGTTGGCTATGGAGTTGGAGATGGCTTTCGGGCACGGATTCTTGTCATTAAGGGCGAAGGCGTAATTACTTTTCAAAAGCCAAACGGTCACGGCGGACATACATAGCATTAGAGATACCCATTTTGTGTCAAATGACTTATTTACATTGAACTACCTAAAAGTACCTTGAACTACCGCTGATTCCGTGATTGATTGATCCCCAGGGCTCCAAAAGATGTCATACAAATCCCCTGATAGCAATGCCCTTGGTTAAATGTCCCATACCTGCCTAAAAACATTCCAAAAATAATCGTTTCCCTCCCCTTGCCCCTGTTGTTGACATGTTCGGCAGAGTATTAATGCATATGCTCAGTGTAAGTATGACTGAACCGATGTGTGAGTATTCAGAGGAACACCACTGATCCGATGTTGATCAGCTGTCTCGCGCGATACCGCGGCTCTTTGTTGTGTAGATCTACTTTCGCTCGGCCTCGGCTGTCGAGACTACCTTGCGCGACTTTGGGTTCAGATATGCCTTGATCTGATTGGGGATCGCGGTGAGTCTCTCGGGATTCCAGGACGACGAGAATCCGAACTTCTTGTTAATGTTGCGGCGGACACTAGCGACACGGCCATACTCGGCGTACTTGGGCAGGTAGGGCATTTCATTTGCCTCGCAATAGTGTCTCCAGAAAGGAGCCCAGTTGGTCTTAAGAACATTGTCCTGCTTGAGTTTCATGAGCTCCGTGTCATCGAGCTTGGTGTAGATGTCGCCGTTGACTTGACGAGAAAAGATCTTGCCCTTAACGATGATGTATTTAGTGTTGCCGTCAACGAAGTTGAAAGTGATGTTGGTCATCTGGATATCCCGGAGGTCAGGAGAGTTCTTGTCATCGCGGACGAGGATGTGCGGAACAACGGCATAGTTTCCGGGGTAGCAAGACGGACGATGCAACGTCTCCACGTTGATTGACAGCCTACGTGACGCCTCCGCATTCATCGACGGGGTCTGAGGTGCCTCAATGTTCATCGATGGGGTGCGCGACACAACCTCCACGTTCATGGACGAGGTGCGGCTGGTAACCGCACGTCGGGGAATAGGTGCCCCGTAGGCAAAGTTGGAGGAGGGGGTGAACAAGTTGAAGGGCTGCACATTCCATGCATCAGATAGGTGCTTAGGTGGGACAAATGCAACTGTGTTCGAAACGGAGTTGGTGAGTTCCACCACATCACGATCAGAAGGAGTCGGGCCAAACCCCATCTGAGAAGCAGGTCCATGGTAAGGTAAGAAGACATGGTTCAGAATCATGTAACAGAGACGACCAGCCTCGAAGACACTGGCAAACTCAATGGATAGCTTGCCGTTCATCTGATTCTCGTTCGCGGAAAAGGTAGCACGGATAATGTACTTGGTTCCGAATCGAGTGAGCAGATGCCAGATGGCTGATGTAGGAAAGTTCTCGAGAGTGATGCAACGACCCGAGTGCTCGCTATGATAGCCAACACCATATTCAAGCGGGTGCCCATGGCGGGAATCGTAGGACGAGGTTGAGTTGATGAGCTTGACTTCAATCTCGAAGAAGCGTCCGGTGCCGTCAACAAGCTCAAGTCCATTGGCCTTGACGTTGGCAACATATCTCTTAGCAGCCGTGGAGTCGCGGAACTCGACACAAGCTATCTTAAACGCCGTGCCGCTGTTGACAATGTTGTCCATGATGGAGATGCGGACTAGACCGCCAATACCGCAGACCGCATCGGCAATCTGGGTGAGACTAGTGCCCTGTGGGATCTTCTCGAGGAGAACACGACGAGAGTCAGCGGGACTGTCAGGATCGAAAACCGAATTGATGTTGATCATGTAAATCTCATCATCAGAGCGAATAGAGACGGTCTCATTTTGGTTGCTGGTTGGGGCGTCCTGTTCATCAGATGCAACGCCTTGGTTGGTAGGGGATGCAGCATTGTTGCCGCCATCGGCAGCGGAGTTACCATCTGAGCGGGCAAACTGGGAGACAACGTCTGAGGAATCGTCGGCCAGGGAGTTGGGGGGATCCTATTCCCCAGGACCCTCGCTGTCGGACTCGGACGTGGTTTGATGGATGATGGATTCATCCGACTCATTATCAGACGAGGCCTCATCATCTCCCTGAGTTCAAACATTAATCATCTAGTTTCATAAAGGACAGGGAATACTTACATCGCTTCTAGACGAGGAGTCTTCTTGGGCTTCGCTCATCTCTCGCAGCGCCATGTTACTCTCGAGGAGGTCAACCTCAACTCGACCGAGCTCCTCCATCTTGGCCAGAACCTGGGTAGGAGTGAGGTTTCCATCAGTTGAGCCGATGATCTCATCCTAGGAGGTTAGAGGGTTAATATGAGATGACAACATGGATTGACTGGGGATGACTTACTCGCAGTTCATCATAGCGGATACGGTTCAAACGGTTCTCCTCCTTCAGTCTCACTAGATCGGCACGAGCCTGTTCCCGAGCCTCGCGTTGGCTCATTATTTCTTCCGCTGATAGGTTGGGGAAGTTGGCGGTGTCGCTCATGTAGTCGAGTTGAGTCTCGACACTGGCGAGCTTGGACTTGATCAAGTAGTCTTGCTCTTCAAACCTCAGGCTGACTTCGTCGCTGTTGGCCGAGAGCCCAAGACTCATGTCAGAAGGATGAGAGTCTAAGTCTCCGAATGCGGTGCCAACTCCGTTGAAGTCAGAGGAGTGGGAAGATAGCTCATCGGAGCGGGAGGACAAGAAGTCCCAACTACCTTGCTCGGAGGTAGGACCTTGATCGCCGTTCATGGTTGGTAGAGCCATGTTTATAGCGATGAACGTTATTGAAGAGTAAAATGAGTAGATACAGAAGATAGGGGAAGGGGTAAACAGAGTGCAGGGGTGTTTGGGTATGGGGAGTATGAAGAAGAGATCAGAGTGAGAATGGATAGGTAATTGGATAGTTACTCTTGCTTTAACACCGCCAAAGTGAAGATGATCGAAGGCAAACTTTGTGATGCGTAAAAGTAGAAAGGTTTGTAGAGATGAGTCAGGAGAGATGTGGGAGAAGGGATGTTGTTGGGGAGGGGGAGAAAAGAGGAGAGCGAGATATACGCGAGGGGGGCAGAAGAAGCAGCCTACGACGCGTCAAGCTCTAGCCTATAGGAGGGCAGAATCAACAAACGGCAGACGATCCGGTGACCAGGTAACGACCAGTTGCGCTGCCAGTGATGCTCAGGAGTAGTGCACTGAGTATTTGCTCCTAGGAAAGGAATTTCAAGTTCTCGTGGGCAAGGGATATGGCATTGAAGGATGTCAAGGACTTGAGGCACTGCAGAGGAAGTAGTCCGAGCAGAGGAGGGGTTCAGGAGAAGTTGGAGGAGCGGCAGTGCAGTGGGACGAAAGCACTAGAAGCTATCGAGACATGAATCACCTTGATGCCGAACATTCATCTTGTTCACACATCTGCAAGAAAGCAGCAGGGCCAATGGTCATGTTCATGTTCATATGTTGTTCATTGCAGCACATCGCCCTGACGCTCGATCTATATTTTGAACGTAGATAATATAATCGTAATCCCAATATTGTCGGAGGTAGATATTATTGAAAAGATAGCCCTTGCCAGCTTTCACTTGCTCTTCTTCAGTCCCAGTGGTGTTGCTGCTTGGTGTTGCTGCTTGGTGTTGCGGGTGGCCTGCAACCGATTCTGTCCCGCCCCTCCACTGATGAAACTATTCGGGTCCCCACTAGTCTTCCAGAAGTCATCACGATATCGCCATCTTGTTGTTTTCGTTCGTCCATATTGTAATTCATCCCGTACGTCGAAATTTCATCCACCAGCACACCATCATGGAACTCTAAGCTCGAGGGATGAATATGCCCACGATGGTCTTGAGTATTCGCTACTTCACTGAGGGAGTAGTGCATCTTGAGGCATGCTAACCTTGTATCTTTGAGCAGTAACATCACCATGGACTCATGGTGTTTTCCACACTTCGACCCCGAACTCGTAAAGCAAACAGACGATGTGCATCGGCCCTCTGCGAGAGTCATCCCCATCTTCCTCGATGATGATGACGGCTGCGGCGACGGCTTGCCCACGGGCATACGAGACACCAGTCAAAGATGAAGGGCATTACTTCAACAACGCAGCGCCCTGGGGGAGGCATATCGATGGGAGAAGGGTAAGGAGCACGACTGCGCCATGGTCTTGACATCATTCGGAGCATACAGATAGACCAGTAGGCGTTCGTTTGAAGACACGACACTCGAAGCCCATCGCACGGCAGAGAGGAACACACGCAGAGAGAGAGATATATATGTATATACACACAGGATCACATCCTAAGAGACTCACTCTGCCTCTACCCCTTATTCTCACACTTGCGGTCGCTTTCACATCAATCAGACCACTTGTCTTGACTGCGATCGGGTCTGCGAGGCATCAACACTCATTGATCCATAAACAGTTCCCCATACAACTGCACATACAGGCTGCAACTTTCCAGACTTGATCAAGTTACAGGACAAGACGAACAAGTCGCCCCCAAAGCGCTGGCTTGATGGAGGAAACACGACGTACGAAGAGACCACAGACCGCAAACGAACGATCCATCGAGACCCGATACACGTTGAGGTACAAGACAAGGCACATAAGTACAAAGGAGCAAGGGAGAACAAGGTCTTGGAACCGCAGTTGACAAAGAGGACACCGAACAACTGGGAAGTTGATCATCAAAGAAAGGAGTCTTTGGAATGAGACTGTCCAGCGATTGCCTCGTCACTCAACGATTCGATCGTAGAACAAATATTCAGGCATTGGAAACGTAGAGAAGACGATAAAAGGGCAAACACTTCAAGACATGAAGTTGGAATAGAAGAAACAAAGTTACAACGGTCTCACGTGAAAAGACATGTCGTTGCTCTTCTATCCCCATAAGCTCCACACTAAGACACCCTTGAGTGCCTAGGCCTAAACTGACGGGACGCTCCCGGGTGAGTCAAGCGGCCAGTTTTAGCACCCTTGCCCCCCGCAAAAGACCCCTGTTGAACTTCCAGGACATGGGTTGTAGACGTCAGTTACAGGGGTATTCAGAGACCACGACATATTGGACCAATAGATATGATGAGAAGTAGAGCCGTAAAACCGGCAATTCTTACAGTCTTTTGACCAGTCACATCTAACTCTCATGTATAAATTCTGATGGGCTCATCTTATTCGGCGATTTCCGAATTGTACCCAGTTCGATGTGGATAGACTTCCCTGGCTAGCTCAGCCTCCAGGCATCCAAAGCTCCAAGCTTCAGCCGCATGCAACCAGTACAACCATTGAAGCCTACATTTAACAGGACGGGCCACTGTAAGAACTGGAAGTTTCCCGTCTCCCTCAGAACCCAGCCTAAGGTACAGAGGGAGGATCTGACTCACTGACCGAATTCTGCCACTCAGTTCAGTCCTGACCCAAACATAAACCCACACACACAAAAGTTACTTTCAACCTCAGCAACTTTCAGATACCTCCAGTAGGTATATAAAGATCACACAACTCTTCTTATTTCCACAATCTTTTATTCTCTTCTTCAGCAGGCTTCCGCTTGTCATCAAATCATCATGGCGTCTTCATCGGAATCAGACCTGCCTTGGTTCCTCAAGTCATCAGCCCCCGTTCTCTTCCCCTTCGACGATGCCCTGAGACTCCCACAGGCTGAGTTTGAAGAATGTATTCGTCAGATCATCGCAGATCGTCACAAGATATCTTTCTCACAGGAAAGGCGTGACGCTCATTTCGCTGCCATGGCTGACTTTGATGAGTCCGAGACCTTCACTCTCGTCTCCAACTCGACATCTGCCGAAATCCGTCAGGCCATGGAGGCCGCCAACCTCTCTAATCATGCATCTCAAGACACTGAAACTATGCGAGGGTCTTCTCCTACCCAGGAGCCGGAGGTGGAAGAGTCCCAGCCTGTCCAGTCCAATCCTTTCATGGAGGGCCTTATCAACTACGGGAACGAGAAGCCATCTCGGGACCTCGACAACATGATGCTCACGGAGAACGGCGATCTCGCTTATCGTTCCAGCCAAGACGCCCTTGTTGATCTCTTCCAGGAACTCGAGGAAGCCATCTCTGGCCCTCGCCTGAAGGATCTCCTTACTAGAGCCTGGGATGAGAACCCCCTTGCTACTCTCCGAATCATCTTCAACGCTCGGTCCATTCATCTGGGAAAGAGCTCGCGGACTGTGTTTTACCGGTGTGTTGGATGGTTGGCGCAGAATCATCCCTTGACACTTGTCGCTAACCTCTGCTGGCTGAGCCGCCCGGTCATCAACAAGAAGGCCGAGAAGAAGGAAGACGACGATCTTGTTCTCGTTGAAGAGGAGAACGATGACGACTCTACCAAGTTCGACGTGAAGAATGGAGTGGCCCATGGCTACTGGAAGGATATGCTCAATATCCTGGCCATTGCGGCCAATGATAAGCTTACTGTCATCGATGACCCCAAGGAGGTCCTCAACACCGAGAACCCTGGCATCCTCCGCGGCAAGAGTATCACGAAGCCTCGTCATCGTGACGGCAGCAGACTCCGAGGACTTCATCATGGAGCTCGAGGGCTTGGAAGAGGTCGCGGTCGCGGTCGTGGCCGAGGCCGAGGTCAAGGATCTCACTCAACTAGACATGAGATGAGAAAGCAGAATCGCGATGTCGACCCCAAGGAACTCAGACGAGAGACCAGAGAGAACCGCCATGAGACCGCACGAGTTCTATTTGATACCGACCCCGTGTATCGCGCCCTCCACATGACCATTGCTCGTCTCTTTGCAGAACAGCTGCACAAGGACATTCAAGCCCTCCGAGGGGACGATAAGGCCAAGCGCTCTATCTCACTGTGCGGCAAGTGGGCTCCTTCTTCCGATCACTTCCACGACAGACACACCTTCATCGTCAGCACCATCGCCGAGATTCTGTACCCCCGAGAGTCCATCTACCACCCGATGCTCAGCCCAAGAGACGGCCATGAGAAGTACCTACGATTCGCCCGTGAGCAGTACCGCAAGGATACATCTGCCCTCCGAAAGCAACTCGAGATCGTTGAGCGAGATATCACCGTCAAGAAGTACGAAAACATCAAGTACGACCGAGTTCCCTCTCTCGCCATGAACCAGTACTCTAAGCTGTTCATCGAGAACGACGCCGAGCGATTCGGAAACTACCTTGATAAGGTTGCAGCAGGCAAGGCAAACATCTCCGGGGCTACTCTCCTCCCGTCTACTTTGATCCAAAAGGTCCGAACTGGCGGTTCGGCTGCTCGACCAGGAGCCAAACCGCTTCTTGACCAGAAGGTGGCCGAGATCGAGGCCAAGGTACTTGATGGCCAGTGGAACACTCTCGTCAAGCGGATCAAGGACTCGGGCACAATGGACTCCTGCATCGCGGTCTGTGATGTATCTGGCAGCATGAACGGTCCTGTCTTTAGAGATCAGACCACGCCCATCGACTCCGCCATCGGTCTGTCTCTCCTCCTCGCAGAGGTCGCCAAGCCCCCTTTCGCCGGCACCTTCATCACCTTCAGCGAGCACCCCAGAGTCGAGGAGGTCGACTTGACCAAGACTCTGCGGGAGAAGTACTGGGCTATGCACCGATCAGAATGGGGCATGAGCACCAATTTCGTCTCTGTCTTTGAAGACCTTATCCTTCCCATGGCTCTCCAGAACAAGCTGAAGCAGGAAGATATGATCAAGCGAGTCTTTGTCTTCAGCGACATGCAATTCAACGAAGCAAGCTCCTCCAACTCCCACTACTACCGGGAGTGGTCTTCTGAGAGACAGAAGCCATCAAGCTGGTCTACTTCCTTCGAACGCATCAAGGCCAAGTTCGAAGAGGCGGGTTACGAACTCCCCGAGCTTGTCTTCTGGAACCTCGCAGGCGGACGAGCAGGATACACCGGAAGCGGCGGTGATCCTACGGCGCCCAAGCCTGTCCAGGCTGACGAGGATGGAACATGCCTCGTCAGCGGGTACTCGCAGGGCTTGCTGAAGGTGTTCCTGGAGGGAGGAGGTTTTGAGGGGGAGGGTGAGGATGAAGAGGTTGTCGTCGAGAAGGACGAGGAGGGTAACGTCACCCAGAAGACGAAGAAGGTGAAGATGACGCCTCTCAAGATCGTGCAGAAGGCGATAAGCCACAAGGCGTACGAGATGCTGAAGGTGGTCGACTAAGGGGAGTAATGAGTTATGAAAACGATACCCAGAATGAAACGCATAGCTGTTGTACAATAGTACTCATTAGTCGCAAGCACGACTTTAGCTTAGGGAGTTAAATTGCATTGTATTCTTGTCTTTTCTTTCGTATGAGTGATCATTGAGGCGTCATATGTCAGTGCGATATGAAGATCTTTATCTCACACTTTGCAGTTGAGACCTGTAGCTCGGAGTTCAAGCCAGACAGAACTAACCTACGCGGGCGTGCAGAGACCTTACTAAATGTCCCTCGAGTACGTCTAATATCTTGTCCCTGATGAACTGGCACCAAGCGAAAGGTATCACAATCATGAGACCGGGAGTTCTCGACCTTGACCGATGCCGAGCTTAATAATAAGTGAAAAAGCCTCGTTGACGACTTCTCGAATGTGAGAAGCATCCTCCAACGAAGGGTGTCGATGGATTCATAATACGGTCCAGGAGAGCGACTTTCGAAAACAAAGATGGATGCTTCTTTGGTCACAGACAGAGCGTTTCGATATAGCATAGTCAAAACGACCCTCCTACTCTTGTGCAACATAAGTGTTGGAGAGAATCAACTTGAAGATACCTTTGTCTAAAGCTGAGGGAGAAGGCAGTAAGTTACAGTTACCTTGAACTTGCAACCAATAAAATATACCACTTAACTCTTTTCTAAACAATTTACTGTTTTGAACCCCAAGCCGGTTGATCTAAAATTGAAAAATAATATATGTCTATGAATAGTAATAACTCAAAATATGGTATTACTTAAGATTTGTGACAAAATGTAAGTCTACCCTAAACGCCAGCAAGTCAGAAATGATTCTACACTAACTTTAGTAATGGCCTGGATTATCTGGACTTTTTTATTCTTTCCAGATTCTACAGTTCTTTTACATATTTCTAGTCAGGTGAAGGATTTTGTTCTGACGGCCTCAACAGAACCATACGAGCAACGCATGTCCGTCACATAATGCTCGTTGAGTTTGCCAGCATCTCCGAATCAGGGTGCATGTGTGTATGCTATATCGACGAAGCAGGGTGAGTGTGTGTGCTGTGTCGATAAAGCTAGGACGATGTGTATGTTATGTCGACGGAACTGGGAAAGTGTGTATGCTGTGTCGATAAAGCTGGAAAGATGTCTCTTTGATGAAGCTACTGGGAACAGCTATCGGAGATTGCCCAATTCAGCTTCCCGAGATTTAGTCGATATAGCGCGGGAGATAACCGCGAATAAAGACGTAGTGCATTAGTCTCGTGCTACAAGATATCGAAAGATAGGATGGCTGATATTCACATAAATGTCAACAAGGGACCGTAGCTATAAGTTCCGATTCGTAGAGAAACGATATACGGGCGCTTATACCCATGGATTCGCCTCGTGAAGCCGCGTGATCAAAAGCTTGTGTGGTATCACTGATGTACATAGATTGCGCGAGAGTATGGTGCAAGATAGAGTGGAACTTGAAGGCGGTGATCACTCAACCAAGACAGATTGTCTGACGCTTCAGGTATCGGAAAGTGATAGGCTATCTCGTAAATGTGGTTCAGAGATACAGTTGTGAGAGGTTACAACGCTGAACTGGGGATGGCTGATAACTCACATCTCGTCCCATCACATCACCCCTTATTCACAAAGTTCTGCATGTACCTTTCTCCACCAATGTCTTGGCCATTTTCTGCATTTCAATCAAAGGGGTAATCGAACATTTCCCATGATCCAACAAATCGAATGAGCCCCATTCGCGAGTTGGGTCATGCGTTCTTTTCAGTGTTTCTTGGCAATTTCATCTACCATATGCACTGACCTTGAGTCTTGAGGAAAAGGTCCAGCTCGGAAGACATACGCGAAGGGAATCCTTCCTAGTTGTACGAAAAGTCGGATGTTTGAAGAGGATAATACGGGATATATCTCGACTATTCAAGCACGTTCACGTTCTGCATCGCCGAATTACGGCCGTTTATAGGGTCCGTTCGCAGAGTCAGCTGGTGTTTCACAATTTCACATACAGAGTACAATGCTCCATATTCAACCATCTCCGCCATTCTGGGTACCTGAACGCGGAGTTGGGAATGAGGAGTCCCCAGACATCTCTCACTGCGGCCGTGGGGGACTGATGTGTCCTCGTCCATTCGCCCGGGGAAGACAAGAAAAAAATAGGGGCTCTGAGATATTTTGGCAAGAAAAAGGGCCGTTTACTTCGGTGCAAGATGGACAGTCCGTTCTCCAGCGACAGGCATGAAGCTCCGAGTAAACGGCCGGCTCTCCACGGCTCCGGGTGGGTCCTGGAGGAGTCTTCCGAAATGACAACGCGGGTCCGGAGTAGAAAATTTGGGGGGCGTATTCCACGGGCTGGGGAATTGTGGTGAGTGTATGACTTCAGGCGAGGTCACGTTGGAGAGAAGAGAATTACAACGAGCTGAAAGAGTTTTCCGGTTAGTGAGTGCTGCGTTTGGAAAGGATCGAGCTGACATGCCGGTACTTGGTGTCAGAGCCAAGGAATCGTTTCGATGACCCACTGGACTTGGCGATGAATGCAACTTGAGCCAAGGATAGGCGAGTAGAGAGAGTGTGATGGGGATTGTGACTGTGGCTGTGAGTGTGAGGGGATGATGGCTGGAGTTGACGTTGGAGATTCTCCGCAAGAACAACCCCAGAATTCGCTACACAATCAAGGTTTTTCTTCTCCAACGTCTTTGTCTTGTCTTGTCTCTGTAGGGAACGTGTCGCGAATTGTGTAACGCGCAATGATCGTCGGGTCGTAGTCCAAGTCGCACCGAGAACGATGCCGTAAGCCCAGAGATTGACCAATGCCCGCCGTCCGAAACGGGGCTGGCACCCATGGCGGTTTAAGCTTACCTTGCGGTGCCTTGGACGCTACGTCATAGGCCCAAACTCTACTGCACAGCTAACAACACCAAGAAAATTAGAGAGCAGCACCCACTGTAAGTTACATGAAATTCTCGCCAAGTTTTTGGGGTGTACGTACCCCAGAACCCCATGCCAAGGGGTTATTCGCATCCACTTTCTTCCAGAAATCCAATCATTGCTGATCCACTTTGCACTGACTCGGACACCCAGGTCCCCGTTGCTCGCTCGCTCGCCTTGTTGCGGTTCAGGTTCTGAGGCCAGCAGAGATGGAGAGAGATGGAGAGGAGAAAGATACTGGAGAAACCCCAGATGATGAAGGATTAAAGCAACGCCACTGACATCGGCCCTTTATCGTCAAACCTCGTTAGAGACTAACAAGCAACATGGACCTCTCCACGCTCTGTTGTCTGCAATGCCCATCTCTAGTGAGTCTTGGGTGCTGTAAGTGTGAGGTGATCTGCACCTGGCACAACGGCGGCTGTCTCTGTCCCTGTCTCTGTCTCTGTCACTGAGAGAAACGGGCTTGGTTTGACTTCAACTTCCCCATGACGACTGCCAAGTTTAGTAAATGATGCCCGCCCCCATCTCGTCTTCTCCATCATCATCATCATTATCTATCGCGGAACGGAAAGACATGCCCTGTCGGGACCCCCGACTGTCGCCCTTTTCCCCTACCTAATAGTCTTTATGGGGCAGGCAGGGCCGTTTCTGTTTTTCTTCTTTTATATACCCCAGGTCTTGGTCTTGGTCTTGGTATCTGAAGAATAAAAGACCTCGTCTTCCCTCCTTTTTTCTATGCCTTTTGGAAACAGAGATTTATTCTAGTTTTATTGTATTTCTTTTTCTCACTACAACTGTGACACAGCCGTACACCATTGTAACCATGCTTGGTCATAGGTATGTCGACTATCCTTCCTCTCTACTCAGCTTCGATCACAGCTAACGCTCTCAAGGTCTATCAAGGTCAATGGCGCCGACTGCGGCATAGAAGCCATCCTTTTGGGAGTCATCACTTCCATCGGTGGATTCCTTTTCGGTTACGATACTGGGCAGATTAGTTCTATGCTCCTCTTCCGCGACTTTATCATGCGCTTCGCAACCGGTTACGACGAGACCAAAAACGAAAAGGCCTTTGTGCCTATCATCCAATCGACCATGGTTAGTCTCATGAGCATTGGAAGTCTGATCGGTGCTCTATCCGGTGCATAGTACGTCTCCTTCACCTCGCGCAACCCAATACAACAAGCAACTGACATTACTTCAGCACATCTGACTGGTGGGGACGCCGCAAGAGCATGACCTTCGGAGTCGCCTTGTTCATTATTGGTAATGTCATTCAGATCACGGCGATGCAATCGTGGGTTCATATGATGATTGGTCGATTTGTTGCTGGTCTTGGTGTTGGTAACCTTTCCGTCGGTGTTCCCATGTTCCAGTCCGAATGCGCCCCTCGTGAAATCCGCGGTGCTGTCGTCGCCTCCTACCAACTCATGATCACAATTGGTATCCTGGTTTCAAACATAGTATGTCTCGGTCTGAAGAAGATTGATGAGAGCGACGCATCCTGGAGAATCGTCATTGGCCTCGGCATTGGCTTCTCTCTCCCTCTCGGTATCGGTATCCTGGTTGTCCCCGAGTCTCCTCGATGGCTCGCTTCCAAGGGCGACTGGGAGGGTGCTCAGCTCTCACTCGGACGTCTTCGCGGCAAGAAGAATGATCTGCAAGACCCTCTCGTCCAGGACGATCTGAGAGAGATGCGAGGCATCCTTGAGAAGGAGAAGCAGGTCGGCCAGGGCGGCTGGCTCGAGTGCTTCGACCCCAGGAGCTCGGTTCCCAAGCTTGTCTGGCGTACATTGCTCGGCTTCTTCATCCACTTCCTTCAGCAGTGGACCGGTGTCAACTACTTCTTCTACTATGGAGCCACCATCTTCAATTCTGCTGGAATTGAGGACCCTATCCAGACGCAGCTCATCTTGGGTGCTGTCAATGTTGCCACTACCTTCGCTGGTCTCTGGTTCGTCGAGAGATTTGGACGTCGTTGGCCTCTATTCATCGGTGCCATCTGGCAAGCTGCCTGGCTTTGCGTCTTTGCCTCGATCGGTACAGCTATTGACCCTGTGAATAACAGCACAGTCGGCATCGTTCTTATTGTCTGCGCGTGCATGTTTATTGCGTCTTTCGCCAGTACCTGGGGTCCCATGGCTTGGGTCGTCATAGGAGAGACCTTTCCTCTCCGTACTCGTGCGAAGCAAGCCTCTATCGCTACTGCCGGTAACTGGCTTGGCAATTGTAAGTAATGGCACTTTCTTGGGTTGACAATCTTCTCTAACAACTATAACAGTCATGATTGCTTTCCTCTCTCCAATTGCAGCCGATGCCATTAACTATGCTTTCGGTTTCGTCCTCGTTGCTGCCAACGTAGCCGCCGCTCTTCTCGTCTGGTTCTTCCTCTTCGAATCTCGAAAACTCACTCTGGAGAATGTCGATCTCATGTATGGTCAGGAGGGTCTTAAGCCTTGGAACAGTCACAAGTGGGTTCCACCTGGATACATCACCCGTGACCAGCGAGATGAAGCCGTCTTCCGTGGAAATGACAAGGGTAGAAATAGCGAGTCTCACTCTGGGGAGGATTCTCGTGTTGAGCAGATCGATGCTTAGAGAGGGGCTGCATGGTATGGATTTGTGTAAGCACTGGATGCATACGCGGCGTTCGTTATGGGTTTGTCACTGTATACCTAGTTATCATACGGAGTTGGCCAGTCTGGCATAAGACATGCGATCAATTATCATTATTATTTTTATCTAAATACTTTGCAAAATATGATAGGTATCGTGAACACGATTCAATGCTTTGAAACAAACCTCCTTATAACCTTGTAAATGCATTTCACCTGTCATCGTATCTCAACCATCGCTTTCATCGATGTATATGCCTTTAGAACCAGTTTTAGCCATTGCTTTTTATATGCCCTTTGACAGACCTTATATACTCAAAAGTCATTTACTACGTCATAATTGTCTCTCCAGGCAGATGTCTTTTCCCACTCCTTCATAATTTTGGTACTATCGACAACTGGCCCTGACCACGTTATCTCTGCTATAGATTCGACTATATTGTACCGGAAGAAGCATTGCGCGTCTCTGCTGCTTCTGATTTCTAGTGTTCGAAGTTTTGGCATCGTTCGTGCTGCCCTCGCCGCAGAGCACAGCAATGTCTCTATCCTTTTTCGCTCTCGCGTCTCGAATAAATCTGTTGATAGTGTGAGTGTCTCGAGATGAGACCACTTTATCAACGATTCTAAGTCCTCCTCCAAGTCGAAGAGAGTAAAAAGACCGAAGAAATCTTCGGCATCGATGATGTCCAATACAGACATGTGCTCTAGGTTCTTGGAGTATTGGCGGAAGCGTTTGCCTAACACATCTCTCAATTTGACATCGCTTGAAGCCCAATCTTGTAACGCCACGGCTTTCCTTCCGTTGATGGATAGTGTTTTGACTGAGGCTGGGAGTCTCTCGGCAAAGGCTTGAGCGGCAAGTCGGGTCCAAGCCGTCTCTTCATCGGCGCCAACTAAGGCCCACCGCTCGATCGTGATATCTTCAAGGTTCTTAAAACTTTGGAACATGTGAATTAGCGTTTTTGGATAGATTCGACGGAACTGCGTGTTGCGGATCAGAAACTTGGAAACAATAGGGACGCGAGGGAGTATGGCATTCTTCTTCTTGTAGTATGGTGTATCATCTGCGCGTTGTGCTGTGGTGAGTTGAACATCCCTCCAACCTATGAGGTTACGCCTACAAGCGTTCCAGTAATCCCGTGTCCTGTGGTCAGCATTCGGCAATCCCCAATAGCCGTATTGTTCAGTGTAAGGCCCATGGGGATTGTCGTAATGGTAAGGTTCTCGGGACTCGGACTTCTTGTGGACCTTATACGCAGCAAGATCCAGTTCAAAGATACGATCTGGCCGCAGCATACCAATCCAATCATCAAATGCGAATACACTTAGCTCAAGAGTGATTCGATTCTCTGGGTTCCATAGAGAGATGATGTCCCAGAGTCCAAATACGCAGTATGTGAACACTTTGTCTGCACGGAGTGTTACTTTGGGTTTTTCGGACCTCTTGATTTTGTTTGAAATCCTGGGGTTGGAATTGGGAAGATGCATTCGATACCATATGTGTTTGACGAAGCCTTGGCGTCGGGGTACCAGGTATCGAGAGAGGCAGCGCAGGTCATCTTTGGTGATAGCCAACGACCTGAAATTCTTGCGTTCGAAGAAATCCTGCCACGACGTGCAGACCACAGCGTAAGGGACGGTCGAAGGTTCTCGGGAGACGTCTTGTAGGATCATGTCCTGGATCTCGGGTGGGAGGGAGTGGAAATGAGGAGGCATGGTGTATTGTAGTAAGGAGATATCTTGGTGCTGACAATGTTAGGGAGGATCATGAGAGAATAGAACAACGTCTCTGAACTGACAATATGTATTGTGGTATAATAGCTGGAGCATATAGTGGCTCATAAGAATTGGAACAAGAAATTGATGTTGCTTTGTGTTTGTAGCATAAGATTGAAGTGATTTTCAATGGGTGCAGATGAAGCTTGAATATGAGATGTATGAAAATGAAGGCGTGTCGTTGTTTAAATGTTCATGCTGGAACATTTGGATTCCATCGAGATGTTTGTAGTGGGAAATGGTTTGAAAGGCTAGAGTGAACAATAGCATGCGAACAGGGGGGTCGGCGTGGTAAACAAACGGACTGAACAGCAGAACACAATGATAGTAAAAGAACTCTTTGAGCGAGACGTCAAAGAAGCCAGTGTCAAAGAGAATTGTTCATCGTATGCTAGTATTTTTTTTTTTTTGGAAAAGGAGATCTATGTACTATCCCCTGTTTCGATGTCTTTGGCATTGAGGTTGGAATTGTACGAAGGAGATGCAGTATGGCCTTGGATTGTCTACGATGTATCTCCAGGGCCATGACGGAAAGCTAAAGATCATCGAGGGACTATCATGCATGTCTCTACCGTTTTGACCTCTTCGGCGTCTACCAAGCACATTGAGAAGGGAGTGTTCATGCTGTATAGTATGACATTGACACTCGCTCCTCGACGACAATCAACGCAATATCTAGTCCAAAAGAATAAAATCCCAGGCTCTCGTAGGCTAGTACCCATCACTTCTGCAGGTGAAAGAAGCCTAGCTGTTATTGTGCCCCTCCGCCTGAGGCACCGACCCTCACCTCGCTCTGCATCAACTTGCCTTGCCAGTGCCCCGCCAAGGCAACCTCCATCTCGCACCCATCTTCATTCTACTCAAATTTCACTCTCACTCATTATAAAAAGTTAGTAAACACTGTAAAGACTCTCATAAAACCTCGCGTCTACCGTTCACTATCCAAAGTAAGTCATCTCATCCCCAGCCAGGAAAAAAGACTCCCTAAAGAAGAAGTCTGGCGATACTACTTGAGGCCTTTCGTATATTTTAGAACGATTGCTTACTCTTTTGGTTTTATCTTGCAGGCTCCCTTTTCTTTTTCTGAACCAGTCTCACTTAAGCAATCTTGGCCACTACCAGTTCTTGTCAATACACCATCTTCGCTCCTCCTACCCCTTCCCCTTCTACTTCCGCTCCTTGCCAAAATGTCGGATAGTTGCCACCACCAAGCCATCTACATGAACTGCAGCCCTGCTGCAGCGAACGCAGGATTCGTGCGACCTTCTCCTGAGCAGAGGACACTAGCAATGTCGAAGATAGGCAGACTAGCCAGGGGAGCATACCTCGCCAAAGAAGATGCTGTGAATGACGAGCAGACTTTCCCTGGGCCGCTGGTGCTACCCGGAGACCACCTAGCAGAACACCCAAGAGAACAGGGCCAGGCCTGCAAGGACTGGCTCGCTAGTGAAGCTACCCAAAAGCGCTTCCAGGAAATCTCGGCCAGGAAGAAGATGTACGTGTTCGGCCCACCGAGTGTGAAACGGCTACCCGAAGAAATGAGAAGCTGGTCAATCCCAGTTCTACCGCCAGGCTTTCCTCCTTGTCCAGATCGTTGGACCTGGACATTAAAGCAGTATAAACAGCTGATCGTTTACCTCCGTGCCTTCTACCCCACAATGCCAATATCCCAAGTCGCCCACACTGCGTACCTTGAACTGATCCAAGGACGGAGGCGTGTCCACTTTGAGGACACTCCCCAGACATCAGTCATCGGCTTCAGAGGCAAAGATGGCAGGGATACCTTTGAGGTACGACACCGTCCGTCGCCGGATGGGCTGTCAAAGATGCAGCTCAACGTCTCTGACTTGAGGACTGCTCTTGCGGAGATCAAAGCCGAACCAGCTCATTCAGTAGTCATGGTGTTAAACCATGACCTCTACGAAGACGAAGAGGGAAGCTATATCACAGAGAGAGTATGGGTGGAGGATGGAGTGGCAATCGTGTCGACATTCCGCCGCAACCCATGTTTCGATAGGATGGCAGGCGTCAACCGGTTGCATAGGTGGCCGGCGAGCCACTGCCAGGCCTACGTGGACGAAAGCCTTCAAGTGCTCAACGACACCAAAGACTCGACGACTCGAAACCACCTCTCCTTCGAGGCCTTTGGCAAAACGCCCAGTGACTCTGCGCTCGGCCTTGCGATCAAAGCTGCCAACCAAGCTGGTCAGCCATCTTCAATGGAGGATCTCTCGTACCTATGGTTCGCACGGGTTCTCGTTGCTGTGTCTCGGGAAGCTGCCCGTTGTTTCGGGCTACAGAACTGTACTTACTACGCCTGTCTCATGCAGGGTGTAAGTGGGATGCGCCAGGCGGGCGAGATACCCCCGTATCTCTGCCCAGTCTGTTACTCGAAACTCGGGTCGGAACTGGTCCTTCTGAAGCCCGTGTATAGACGCGGGATTGAAAGGGAGGATGCCTGGCTTGGGGAGCATTACGCTGAACTGAAGGCGTTTTGCAGCAAATGGAACAAGATTCCGCATTTCGCCGCCTTTGAAGCATGGCCGGGAAAGCGACTGGAGGATCGCAAGGGTGATGGTGATGGCGGTGACACGGCTGGGCCTTCAAACTAGGAGGCGCCAGCCATTGCCCGCCCAAGTGTAGAGGTTGGTTCTGACTGAACTGTCTATGATATGTACACTGGCTAACTACTATTGCTAACTAGGAGCCTGTATCCTCCATCTCCTCTACACTTGAAGACCATCTACCTGATCCACTAGCAACGACTACCGGCTACCACGCAGTCTAAAGCGATACAACAACCAATCCCAAGCGAACTAAAGAAAGGTGCCAAAAACGGTTTCTTCCATTTTAATAAGCAAAACAAATCTTCAAGTCAGTCTCAATCGCATGCCCACCACCGTAAACAAACCGGGACGAGAGCCCAGGTATTGTCGAAGGTCGGTGTCGATGGATTCTGCAATTCACATTATGTACGGATACATCATCGGCAATCAAAGAAAAGCGCCATGTACACCCGGGAATAACAACGAACCCATTGATCAACACAAATTTACCCCCGAAAATCCTCAATCAAAAGTTCTTTACCTCAACTTCCTCATCGGGAACACTTTTAGCGACCGTTATCTTCAACCGGGTCCGGCCTCGGCATCGGCGCCGATGTCGTGCTAGCTACCGACTCCATCATCACGTCTTTATTCCCCGCCCGTTTCACCTCACAAATCCTCCCTCGACATCTCTAATTCTGCACCAAATACCTTCAAAATGGTGCGCAAGTCTCTCGCGGTCTTGGCAACTGTAGCTGGAGCTTCAGGCTTCCGTCTCGGTCCTTTCGGATCTCAAAAGCCCATTGGTCAGAATGAGCATGACTTTAAGTGCGATTTGCCGCCTGTGCTCTCACCTGGAAACGATGGTCTCCCTTCTGCCAATGAACTATTCGACTCGAAAGATGCTTTTAATAAGCAGGTGAAGCGCCATCAAGCGATTGTGCGCGTCCCGTCAATTTGTTATGACGATCTTGGTGATGTTGATAAAGACGAACGTTGGGCGCCTTTCTATGATTTACATGACGTCCTGGCAAAGACGTACCCAGCCATGTAAGCCACCGAACTCAAACCACAGATCTTTACTGACCAGATTTAGACATAAATATGCAAAGCTGGAGAAGATCAACAAGTTTGGTCTTGTTTATACATTTACCGGAAGCGACTCTTCACTCAAGCCGTATCTTCTCGCAGCGCATCAAGATGTTGTTCCTGTTCCTGACCCATCGACATGGACGCATCCTCCCTTCGACGCCTACTTTGACGGAGAGTGGCTTTGGGGACGTGGAGCATCGGATGATAAGAACAGTCTTACGGCTCTCATGTCAGCCATTGAGACGCTGCTCACCGAGACGAAGTGGCAACCCAAGCGTACTGTAATCCTGGCGTTTGGATTCGATGAGGAGTGCTCTGGCCCTCGAGGCGCTGCCAAGATCGGCGAGTTCCTAACGGAGAGATATGGCGACAACGGTATTCCATTCATCTTGGATGAGGGCGGTTCGGGAATTCAGCTCATTGACGATACTCTTTACGTTCTTCCCTCCGTGCAGGAGAAGGGCGCCATTGATATCTGGGCTGAACTTCGCGTCAAGGGCGGCCACAGTTCTATCCCTCACCCTCACACCGGAATTGGTATCATGGCTGAGATCATTTCTGCTCTCGAGTCCAAGCCTTATGAACCTGCTATCCTCAAGGGAAGTCCCGTATACAACCATCTTGTCTGCCTGGCACGTCACTCTCCTGACTCACACACCAAACTCCATGACCTTCTGAAGAAAGACGATCTTGACAAGCTAAAGGATGAGCTTATTCATCTTGATCCCATGGCCAAATTCACTATTCAAACGACACAGGCCGTTGATATTATTCGCGGCGGTCAGAAGATCAACGCTATGCCTGAAGTTGTCAACTTGGGCGTCAACTACCGTGTAGCACCCCAAGACAGTCTCGAAAAGGTCCAGGAGCAGTTCGTCAAGAACATTGACGCCGTTGTTCAAAAGTACAACCTCACTCTAAGCGCCTACGAGGATGGCGCAAAGTCTCAGAAGGAATCTGGATTCGACTATGACGGCCATATCAAACTCACAGCGATTCGCAACTCAGTCACAACACCCGTATCTCCTACCAGCGGCCCAATCTGGGATATCTTCTCTGGCACAATCCAGCATAGCTTTGCTTTCGACGGCGGAAAGGTCGTACCTGTTGGTGAAATCATGACTGGCAATACTGACACGAGACATTACCTCAGTAAGTACATCGTTACACGAGGAGAGGGAATCTGCTAATAGGTTATAGACTTGTCGCCAAATATTTACCGCTGGACACCGAGCCGACAGCGCGGATCCGAGAACATTCACACGGTCGATGAGAGGATTAGGATTGAGTCGCACATGGACATTGTCAAGTTTTACTACGACCTGATCCGCAACTTTGACGCAGCCGATTTCTAGACCCTCATAGCATAGACACACCCTCCAATGCTATTACATATCTAAACTCAATGGCATGATCTCGCTCATCAATGGCCCGAAATCCACCGACAACATACGCTTTTCCTTCACCGTCTCAATCTTAGCTTCAGCCCGGGAGCTACACCCGAGTGCTTTTAAACCCCCACGCTTCTCCACACGAACGCATCGGGCACTTTGTTAGCCATCTCCACATTCTCCTCTTTGCCTGGCTATGTATTTTCTGGGTTCATCTTATGACCTGTTCATGCTGTTCCCCCTCATGAATGGAATTGCTTGTGATTCTTGGCGGGAGTGTATTCTCACTGCCTGTTCAGTTGTGCTGCATGTATATCACTGCTTCTAAGCTTGTACAATACCTGATTTGAACGTGCATGGCTGCAGTACCAAGTACAGGGACACTACAGGCTTCGGGCTCCCTCCGAGGCCTTCAACACCATTACAAACTCAGCTTCTCTTACTTGCTCTTTCACAGCGTCAACTCCACATCGAGATCCAACTGCGGGGTTCCCCACGATTGACAATCCCCATCCAAGCGCATGTCTCTCCCTCTCAGCAAACACACCCAGCATAGACTATGCCTGTACCTATTGAACATCCGACACCCCGTGTAAGCATCATCACCCCAAAGCGGCAATGTCCAGCGTGCTCCTCACCATCTTCCACTCCCCATTGGCTACGCATAATCGACCACGAGACACATCCTTTTCTTCACCGGCTTCTGCTGCACATGCGTGGGATTATTGGGAAAACATGGCCACTTTGCGGGGAATGGTAGTTTCCATGGGGTAATCAGGCATATGATGTATGTAGGTAGGTATATGCTTCAAGCATTAATTGGTATTCTTTTATGTACAGAGAAATTATTGCTACAGAACAGCCTGATATGATTGATGGCTGTGTAGTGTAGTGTATGCCCAACGCCACAACACCATCTCCGTGCTTTGCTTCGATCGAAATAACAGGTATCGTCATCATCAACGTCGTCACCGCCCAATGCAACCTGCTTTTGTCCCCCCGAGCCAAAAACATGCTTTTGTTTTTTTTTCAGAGGGTAACTTCAAGATCCATCACTTCTTGGAACCCTTGTGCAATAGTATCAAGATCCTTCTGAGATGGCGCCACGCAAGGTCGTCGAGGTTCGCCCCCGTACCCGGAAAAGTGTCCCAGCGCTGCCTTTACACCAACGAACCCAGTCTTGATCGCCGTCCAGTCGGCCTTGGCCACTTTGGCTTGCAGCTGACGGGCTTCTTTCCAGTTTCCTTCCTCTGCAAGCTCTGTGATGCGGACGCATGCCTTGGGGCAGAGGTTGGCGAGGCCTGAGATGGTGCCGTTGGCTCCGACGGCGTGGCCTTGCAGGATGAAGTCTGCGCTGCCGCCTCCGACCCAGAATCCCTCGGGGCAGTCAGCTGCGATGCGGGCGAGCTTGCCGGTGTTGCCGCATGTGAGCTTGACGCCTACGACGTTGGGATGCTTGGCGATGCTGAGGATCGTGTCGGATGAGAGGTCTCGGCCAGCTGCGGCGCCGGGGAAGTTGTACACCAGAAGAGGAATCGGGCTCTTGTCTGCAACGGCGTAGTAGTGCTGGATGACTAGATCATCGGGGAGAAGTCCGCCATAGTAGCTTGGAGGTAGGACCAGGGCATGAGTGGCACCAGCCTTGCCAGCGTCTTCACACAGTTCTGTTGTCTCCCTTGTGCTCTGAGCACCACAGCCTGCGATGAGAGGAACACGGCTACCACTTCCCTCGTGGAAGATGGTATCTCTGGCAACGCGGATGATGGTGGTTCGTTCTGAAGGAGAGAGGTGGGCACATTCTCCGTTGGAGCCGTGAACAACAATGCCAGCTACTCCTGACTCGAGAAGCTTGATGATGTGTTTCTCAGTAGCTGAAGCATCGACCTCGTCTTCGGGAGTGAAGAATGCAAGGGTAGGGACGTATACGCCATCGCCGAGGCGCAGTTGAGAAGCCTTGGGGGAACCCATGGTGGGAGATTCAAGCAGTGTCGAAGGCATGTGGTATGATATGATATAATATGAGTGTAAAGTATATAAGTGCAAGCAGATTACACGCAGCAAGCAGTGTCTCTTTTATACAAGTAAAGAACAAGAAAAGCAGTGAGAAGAATGATGAAGAGGCAATGCTCAAAGAGGCTGGCGTCAGCTGCTCTTTTATGTCCAACCAAGGACTAGGTATAAGAGTGGCGTCCTCGTCATGAGGTAGCCCATTGCTCAGGCGGCTCAGGCTCAGGCTCAGGCACTTGAGTTCGAGAGAGGCATGGTTCGAAAAGCGTGGGGGTTAGGTCCGGATCCCTGGGTACGTGGTGAAAAGGCGGGGGGAGAGACACGACAAAGACATCCGCTGAGCTCCGGCCGAGAGACTCCGGGCCGAACCGGTGACCTCACACGAGTCAAGAGACAAGAAGTGATCGTGGGGGTCTACAGCGGCAGTTTTCCACTGCAATTGAGGGCTTCAATGGATGAATACGGGGGACGTCTGAGAGGGGAGCACTTACACGGAGAGTTACACAAACGCCACCTTTACGAAATGGAAGCAAAGATGTCGAGCATATTGTAAAGGCTGCCATCCATCACAGAGACCACAAACAGAAACAAAACAGCGATCATCCTCGCAAAAGCAGGTACCGTCCGTTCACAAGTCGCCTGACTTACTCCAACCCCCACGTCCAGCCTGTCCAATAGCACCCGCCAATTGCCGTGTAACACTCAGAGAGAGGAATGCTGAGAGAGAGCGTGGGGGGGAGGGAGCAGCAGAGCTGAGAGAAGAGACAACGCTAGAACGAGATCTTGGGAATTGGGCGTTTTAATTGATGGAATATTCTTGAGGGGGGAGGGCAGGTGATCGTCGTGATCTGATTGTGGTGTTGGGAGAGGCGCAACGGGCCACTGCAGGCCATATTCCTCACGTGCATTTGACGTGGGGGGTTTTATTCTGTGTATGTTCTCGATGTTTATGCTGTTTTGTGTGAATCTGATCTTCGAATGATGGATGCTGCTACTATTTTGGATCTATTTATATCTTGTTTATTCCCGGATGTAGGCGTAGTTGGTGGGTTGTGGAGTGGTCGCATTAGTTACTGACTGCCGATGCTGGTTCGTGACCCTCATAAATCAGCATCGACTGCCGAGATACACTAAAAATCGAGGTCTCTTATCGTTTTGAACGAGAAAATACCAGAATATCGTGATTGGTAACTTGAAACATGGCTTTCGATAGTCAGACCAAGTATAACTACCTCATGCGAAATTTGATAAATCCGTATCCAGGGATAATCGGCATTGCTTTTTGTTAGGTAGGTACCAACCTTAGTAGCCAACCTTCGTTGTAGCAATGAGACTGTCCACATCTCAACAATCCATCAACATCAACATCAACATTGGACTCAACCTCAACCTCTAATATCAACAGAATCGGCAAATAAATTCAAATCTACTCAAGATGCTCTCTCCAGCTTATATGAGCATTTACCAACAATACAAAGCCGACACAGACTCTGTCGCAACATGGCTAGCCAACACTGCTAAAGCGCACGGCTATGAAGCTGAGGCTTCACATGGTGGAGCCTCTGCTGATGCCGCAAAGAAAAAGAAGAAGAAGAGGGGAAATGGAAACGGCAAAGGTCCTAGTAGAGCTAAGAACAAGAAAAAATAAGAGAAGCAGGACCCGAACACAAGGAAATACATCATCAGAGTTAGGGACTCTTTGAGGCTATGGCTAAACATGTGGCTGACACCAATGCCGTTGAAGTTCCTCACATGACTGCTATTGCTTTGGAAAGAGGCATCTGGGGTATGCTAAACAGATCTAACATGTTGATTCTAGTGATGCTGATGGATTCATAGTTCGACGATGGTTCTCTCAGAAACTAGCAAACAGCGGTGCAAAAAGGCATCATCGCTCCGATGCTACTCACTCTCACTTCGTCGAGGCCCTTGAGAAGGTCCGCGGCTATGTCAAACCAATCATGGAAGCTGGTCTTTTCAAGCCAGACGACCTCGACAAGAAGACAGATGTCAAGACGAACCACCCCGCCAAGGGCATGTTTGACGTCCTCAACGTCTACACTCCTTCTGAGGAACTCCTCAACGCCCCTGACATCACGCCTACACCTGAACCTGAGACTCAATACACCGTTGAGGAAGAGGTCACCTGGGAAGACGCCTTCTTCGCCTTCGCCGCTCTTCTCCGCGACTATGATTATCTCAGCCAGGAGATCCATTCGCTCTGGAAGAAGTACGCCAGCGGTGAACTTGACCTCGCCGCTGTGGCTCTAGCTACCAACACAGCATTTGAGTTTGCTCACAGCATGGAAGCGGATATCAAGAAGCTGATGGACGAGCTTGTCCGCGGCATGGGCGCTGCACTTAGGGAGACCAAAAACTACCCTCGTCTCTGGATATCGTGGGCTCTTCAGATGTATCTCGACATCGTCCAGGGTCTTGGAGAGTCCGTTGGGCGCGGGTATGAGCAGTTCAAGAAGGAGAGTCTGAAGATCCAAAAGGCACTCGTCGATCTGCCTAAGACGACTGAGCGCAAGCAAGTCCTTCAAGTGGCGACGCGGTGGAATCACGATCCTATCTTCGATATGAGCCAGGCAAACGCGGAGATGGGCTTGGCGGCTCACGATAGTGAAGAGTCTTCTGAGTTCCACTTCCTTCGTCGGAACCCCATACACTGCGGTCTTCTGATCCATCACATGCGATCTATGCTGCATGCCAATGGTGTCAAGACTGCTGTGCACAGCGGTGGTCTGATGACTACTACACAGCTCTACCAAGCCCTCCGACAGGAGAGTCGTATTCCTGAAGGCCAAGCTTGGGAGGATCTTGAGGGGTTGTGGGGATACCAAGGCAACCCGTGCTTCTTTATTGGAAACCCTCCCACAGATCTTGAGGGCTACTACAAGAACTACTGTCTCTGCCTGGTCACTTCACTCACTAACTAGGCACCAAACAGACGGAGCGCCAAGCCTACTGAACATAAAGCCAATGCACCAAACATGAAGTTTGATGGCTGGGTATCTCTCCCGTTGGACAACCGTATCCGTGTGGATAATGCCCGCGAGCCTTGGACAATTGCTATTGTTGGAGAACTCTTGACCAAGGGTCGTAAGAAGGCAATGATGGATGGCAAGGGTCATATACAAGAGAACCTGAAGCAAAAGGCCAAGGAGGCCAATGTAAGTCCCACAAAGTCCATACAGCAAGTTTTTACTAACAGATCCCAACTCGAAGCAGTACCGACATCTCCAAGTGGTCTCATCGAACAGCTCGCCCAAGTCGTCAACAGCGAAATCCCTCGTATCAGCTTCGACTACTTCACCATGCACAACATCGCCTGGTCTCTCCTCACAGATCTCAAGCGCGCTTTCACCGCCGAAGTCAGCCCCGAGTTCCTCAAATACATACCTTCCGAGGACCAGCTCCCCTTTGTAGTAGGCTATGTCTTCTCGACGGCCGCAGGACACGGAAGCACCGATGTCCGAGAACGCGGGGTGGGCAATGATAGGTTCCTCAACGTGGCGACGGAAGTCATGGACGAGTTCTTACACGAGGGCAAAAGGAAGATTATCAAGGAGGCGAGGGAAACGGAGGTTGAGCCGGAGGATGTTGAGGATGTCGATGTTGATGGTTCCGAGTTGTGGGGGCCGAGGAAGTTCAAGATGGAGCAGTTCAGGAGGGATGGACACTTGGGGGCAAGGGCGAATAATGCTGATGTTGCGGAGCTCATGAGACTATTGCAGATGATGGGTTGATGGTGATTGGAAGGACATGAGCTTTGGGGAGAATAAATGTGCTGATAGGTCTAGTACAAGTACGATACGAACAAGAGCAATGATGTACGACAGTTGATGTTGAACATACTACCCTTGGCACAACTTGCATGTGAGTGACCTGATGCATGAACTCTTGGATGCCCTTGACAGAAAGATAAGAAAGTTCCTATGTTACAATACAAATACACTACCCTGATAGGTATTCAACTCACGTCCAACTCGACTAAACACGTCCTCCGAGTCGAGTCTTCCACGCTAGATAACCAGCATATCCCAGCATACCCGTCAACGCCAACCTCCCCACACCGACCAGTAAGTTCTGATTCGCCCTCTGCATGGTCTTCTTCTTCATAACCTTGCTGTTCCTTCTAAACGTCTCGCCATCATTGAGGTGTGGAAACGGTGCCTCGACCATCTTGCCTGTCTCGGGATCCTGAACCTCTGGTACAGGAACACCAAGATATTCACACAGCGGTCCCCAGCCCTCTGTGATGGTGTACTCGATATACCTATCCGCTGGAATTCTGTCGTGAAATTCTTGGTATTGCGCTTTATACCATGCAATGGCCTTCTCCTTATCATTTCCGTGGTCATACTTCTGAACCAGGGATCTCATAGACTTGCTATACTTGGCCATATACTGCAGATTCGTATCTAGCAGAAAACAATAAATCATAGTGAGTTTAGCAAAGAACCCTTTTGGTGTGGTTATCAAGTAGATACTATTGAGCACACTCTCATACCACTTCTCAGGGTCTCGATTCATGATAATGACTTTAGCTTCAGGGTACAGCTCCGCTAATTCAGGGCCAAAGAACGCAGCAGGAACATCACACACGGCCTGGCAATCGCCGAGCAAGCGATCCCAGTCCGCGCGGGTGAAGGTCCCCTTATCGGCGTACTTTGCTTCCATGGCACGTACCCATTCAGGGGCGCGCGTGGGATTGTTGAAGAGAGTTTGCATGTGGTAGCAATCGTGGAAACCAAGCTGCCACAGCGCGTTACGAATACCTGTTCGGTCTGTTTCAGCTCTCATTTTTCGGGTAGTGGATTACGCGCGTAATTGTTGAGAGAGAGAGGGGGGCTTATCAACCCCCTGAGATAGAACTAGAAGCAGACGTACTCAACGTTCCTGTGCGATGGACGCCACAGACGATGACGCGCATGGGCACGATGCGATCAGGGATGGTGTACGTAGACGTTGGCATTGTGATGGGTGTTGTTTCGCGAGATGACGATGTTTCAATGGTGGTGCAGGGAGATTATTGATGCCCAGATCTTCAAGGGTAACGAGAGGTATCCGTAAGTGATGGCCTAACCTATTTCGCTTCGCGTCAAGTGAACGCGCTTGGGCGTCTGTCTCGGTGAGTTTGGCCTTGACCGAGGGAGGTGTAGACCCAATGAGACTGAAGCTTGTTTATTGGGGATGCTTATCATGCACTAACCAGGCTTGTATTGCAGTACGGAGTACATACGTAGCATAGTACGTTGGCCTCGGGGGGCAAGAAAACATCAGACCTTGATATAGGGTGTCAAAATAAACTCTGCAAAGTCATCCTAAGCTCAGGGCTATATTGCCTAAATTCTTTTGTCATCTAGGATCAAGGCCCTGAGTTTTCTTTCCTCCCCTAGGGATGCTACTAGTGATGCGAGTGAGAACTCTACAAGAATAGAAACAAGATTATTGATGGTGATGAAATTATTAGAAACAGGCAGACAATCAAATCAGATTTGATATCGTGTCTAGAGCTTTCTAGTCCAAGCTTGGCTTTCTTGTATCGGCGCTATGATCCGCTGATGGTGGATGCTCCGGACAAGCCGGTATCGGGTGGATCTCAAGATATGCTCCATTAATGGAGCAACATCTGAGTAAGGGGAGGGCTCAATAGGTTGGGACTTGGAGCCCAAAGAGCCTCTAAACTCTAACATGTGATTACAAGGAATGCTGCGTTAGATATGGATCAGTGACTCGAGATACTGACTCACCATTCAACGACTGAACATTACGCGTCAGAATACGAACCCTCAGTCGATTATGATTGTGAGAGGACAGAGACCGCCTCTGTCAGTATCTGCATCTGCACGTCAGTTCGCATGTCAATCACACCAATCAAGGTAACCAAGAGTGTCGATCAACTGCCAGCCCTGCATGGTCAACGTGGAAGGTGATTCTCTGGTCTTCTTCAGCAATGAAAAGATGGTGTGAACTAAAAATGAAACCATCTCGGGAATATTGTCAATAGTCGGAGAGCCTCAATCCAATTCCAAATGTCAGCCAGAGCCAGTCGTCTCTAGCGCCCAACCGGCCCCCTAACCGATCGCTGCAGGGCTGTCCTGTAGCTGCAGAGCCCATCGGCCATCGTCCCCTGAAGCACAGGGCACGTCAAGGTCTCAGCGGCCCGCACGTGGCGGTGGAAGAAGCCCGCTGGAAGCTCAGAAGCTCTCCCCGTCTAGCTCTTGTCTGGGATGGTCTGGCTTCTAATTATTGTACCGGCAGCCCGGGTGCAGTGACTGAGGGAGGGCGGTCCTTGCTTTTCATCCCACGCCCTCCCCGAACGAGTAATCCGAGCGGTTGATTCCTTTTTTCATGATAACCCAAGACACTTTAACCGGACCAATTGAAGGGCGAGGAGCAGACATGATGAGACAGGTCCAAGACGACAGGTCTGAAAGCGAGGATTGGCCTGCGTGGGTTGAGAGCAAGGGAAGAAGGGAAGAGAAGAGTTTGCTCGGGTCGAAGAGAATTCCGGTATGTTAAGCAATTTTCATCATGTATGACGAGTGTTTTGGTATTCAATGGGTGTCAGATAAGAAACAGTTTTCATGACTCGACGCAAAAACACCAAAAATGATATCGCCAGACCAAAACCAACTCAACAACGTACCACGGATGCCATGACGAGCCCTTTATAAGCCCAGAAACCAAGGAACCAAGCACACCATCATCATCATATCCATCAACTTATATAGCATCATCGCCTCAACAGAGTCAATCAGTGAGCTAAACCTGGCATGTCCCGTCTCGGGCTTGCTCTCGGCGACCCACAGTCCTTATCACGCAAGTTTGCCGCCCCCGTAGCCACCACAACAAGAAACTGTACACTACACTACACTACAGCACAGCGAAGGGTGGGAAAAAACCTATACAGGCCCAGTTTTGTTTTTCTTGTTCTCGCCCCGGAGCGAGAGTATACACAGACACAGAATAAGTAGTATGTAAATCATGCCCCCCTTGATCGACAACATGATCAATCCTCCAAACTCAGTTTTGCCCTCGAGGGGCCAGTCCTTTAAAACCAAAGAGCAACCTCGCTTTTCCCCCCCAATTTCCAGACCCGATATTTTCTTATCATAAAAAATATCCATTCGTTAGTTATGCTATCTGAACAGAATGATAGTGGGAGTGGCAGCGGCGGGAGACCTAGCCAGGTACACACTCCCCTCCGCAAGGAAAAGAAGCGAGTAGGCTTCCACTCCAGCAAAGAATCCTCCGGAGAGAGCAGCGACTCGACAACTCGCCCACAACAAACACGACAGCAGCGTCAGGATGAGGGTGTCTTCTCACCAGCTGGTTCACCGAAGCTAGCGCCTGGGGAATTACCGCCAAATGCGCCGGATGCTTACGAGCTAAGCCTTGCTCTCACAAAGATCCTGTCCGCTGAGCAGGAGAAGAAACGACAGGTTCAGAATCTCGCACCAGACACCCCGGATGGAGGACCAAAGAGGCCGAGACCTGCGCTGAGGAGAAATACGAGCTACGATGATCCTAATGAGCGGGAGAAGGCGGACCAGGCGGAGTCTAGGACTACGGAGAGACAGTATCGATCTATGGCTGATGCTCGACAGAGAGCTGATCGGTTAGCTGTTTCGGTGGGGAGTTATTCTGCCCCTGGATCACGACGGGGATCGCTTGATCTCGAGGAAGTCCCCTCGTTTAAGCCGTTGATCGAGGACTATGATAATCCCAAGGCTTCACCACCAGCTGGGTCAAACACCATTGAAGATGCAGAATACTTCGGCCTTCGACAAAGAATAGCCAACTCTGATCGCTTTCAGCATCACGCTGCCGCTGAGAATCTGGTTAGGTCTCATACCCGCAAGGGGAAACGGGATCTATTCACACAGCATCCCAACGGTGGACCGACATCTGGAACCGCTACACCCGTTCTCCAACAAGCATACGCCCACGACTACGTCCCCCGACCAGACCAGTACCGCGGCGGTATTCTCTCCTCGCTGCTGAAGCTGTATCACGATGATAGAGCACCAGGTAGTGGTATGAACACCCCCAAGGATCCGGGTACACCACTCATGTCGCCGCGTAACTCACCACCTATATCCCGCCCCGGATCATCCAATGGAACGCCTCCTATCCGATCACCGCCTCGCTCACGGCCGACGAGCGGGTTGTTCAATTACCACAAGAACAGACACTCGACGTCTTCGCTTGCACTTACAGAGTTGATGAAGTCCTCGTCCATGTTTGCGGCGCCAGCTTCAGCGAATATCTCCGACAAGTGGGCTGAGCAGATTAAACAGAAGCCGCCGCCCCCGAAGAAGCGCGACAAGGCTCGGATTACTATCCATATCGCGGGCATCATCCAGCGCCATCGATATCTGCTCAAGTTGTGCAGGGCTCTTATGATGTATGGTGCGCCTACACATCGATTGGAAGAGTACATGACCATGTCATCGCGTGTCCTCGAAATCGAAGCTCAGTTCTTGTACCTCCCTGGTTGCATGATTATCAGCTTTGATGATAGCACTACACATACCACTGAGGTTAAGCTCGTTCGTGTACCGCAGGGTATTGACCTCGGTCGTCTTCGAGACGTACACAACGTTTACAAAGAAGTTGTCCACGACAAGATTGGCGTTGAGGAAGCGACGAAACGACTCGACGACGTTAACGCGCGAAAGGATAAATATAATGTCTGGATTCGAGTGTTCTTATACGGTGTCGCATCAGCTTGTGTTGCGCCCTTTGCTTTCCAGGGCCGATTCATCGACTTGCCTATTGCCTTCTTTCTCGGATGTATCGTCGGTATTCTTCAACTTGTCTTGGCACCTAGCAACGAATTGTACGCCCACGTCTTTGAGGTTTCGGCTGCCCTTATCACGTCGTTCTTCGCTCGAGCTTTCGGTTCCATTCAAAACGGCAAGCTCTTCTGCTTCAGTGCACTAGCACAGAGTAGTATCGCATTGATCCTGCCAGGGTACATGGTCCTCTGTAGTTCTCTCGAGCTTCAAAGTCATAACCTCGTCGCCGGTAGTGTACGCATGGTCCACGCTCTCATCTACACTCTCTTCCTCGGATATGGTATCACCATCGGCGCTTCGCTCTACGGCATGATCGATAGCAACGCAACGAGTCGTTCGACCTGCGATAACCCTCTTGGACGGGAATGGTACTTCCTCTTCGTCCCTGGATTCACCATGTGTCTCTGTCTCATCAACCAAGCCAAGTGGAAGCAAACCCCTGTTATGGTCGGGATGGCTTTAGCTGGTTGGTCAGTCAACAGTTACTGCGCTGAGTACTTTGGAGGAAACGGCCAAATCTCCAATATGCTGGGTGCCTTGACGATTGGTATTCTCGCAAACTTGTACTCTCGAATGGGCCGACATGTCGAGAATGGATACTTGGACTTTGTCGACTGGTGGAAGCTCAGGGTTCGACCACGTTATACCAAGAAGAAAATCGACTCGGACTCATGGTCCCTCCCAACCCTCAACGATCCCGAGTCTCGACCTGGAACACCAGAGAAACATCAAGAGCCCGAGAAGAAGCCCCGCAAGGTCGGATACAGTCTTGCAGCTGCGGCTATGCTTCCAGCTATTTTCGTGCAGGTTCCGTCTGGTTTAGCAGCAGGAGGTTCTCTGCTTGCCAGTATCACAATGGCTGATGAGATTACCAAGAACGGAACAAAGGTGGCATCTGACATGAACACAATGGGCAATCTTGAAGGAACTGCGTTCAATGTCTTGTTCAAGGTCATCCAAGTTGCCATTGGCATCAGTGTCGGTTTGTTCATGAGTGCACTGATCGTCTACCCCTTGGGTAAGAGACGAAGTGGACTGTTCAGTTTCTGATCTGAACACACATTCATTTTTCTACTGTTTTTTCATTATGGTTATAGTTTTAGAGCGTCAGTTGTTTCAGGATGGCTTATTACAGCGGATATACAAAAGCAACAAGGGAAATTGCTTG